CTCCCGAGGCGTTGCGATTTTGTTTTACAATAGGAGTGTTTCATGTGGAAATATTTTCAGTATTCTCGTTTACCAAGTGCTGTTTTAGTTTTATCGAGTGTCTCGGGTTCAGCGCATTTTGCTGACGTTGTACCATGGCGACGGAATCGACTTCCAACAAAATAAGCTTCAAAGGAAGTGAGTTTTACAATACGGTTGGGATGTCTCAAATGTGTACTAGTGTTTATAAGATCTCGATCATTTTTTAATCCCAAGATATAAAAATGCTTATAAATGGAAAATAAAGCAAACGTGATAATGAAAAACGAGATAAGAGTGGCAGCACTATGAAAATTTTGTTCACTTATTTCTGAAAAACGGAAGTAGTTCGTTGTTATTGAGTGTGCTTTGATTATTAATAAGACAGGTGAGTCAGGTGTAGATGAATTACGTTAGTTGCAGAAGTTGTATTCTTCAGTAATTATGTGCAGAATATTCTCATGATGATTGAATCGTTGAACGGGTCGTGAAAATAATTTCAATACTTCAGTTGTACTTCCTTGAGATAGTGATCTGTTCAGGTGTGATTTGAAGGGTTGAGATATCTCATGTGCGTACTGGTGTTTATAAAATCTCGATCATTTTTTAAACCCAAGATTGAAAATTTTTCATAAATGGAAGATAAAACAACTGTGAGTGGTAGAACTGTGAAATTTTTGTTCACTTATTTCTGAAAAACGAAGTGGCACTATTAAGTAATGATTTATCAAATTATTGCTGCTTAGGTGGTAGATATGCGAATGAATTGAGAATTGTTGACGTATAAGATGATTATATTAAAAAAATCGCTGTGTCTTATCAAATCTCAGAATCTCTGGATTGGGATCCGAAAATTGAAATCCAGGGATCCCGTACAAACACTGTGAATGTAAATTCAGCGATCAGCCAGCACTTTTTCCATGAGGGAGAGTACAAGGCATTACGTTTATTATTATTTTCCTTCTTATTTCCATCCTCTTTTTTAATTCTCCTTTCCCACCACGATTGAATGTTGATGTTGATTCGAAGCAGTTGTATACCGGGCTATTTCAGTGGCTCCATTCATACAGTCGAACCGCTTACTGGCAGCAACAGTACAGCAGTTACGCATGGATCTTGCGGGTCGAGAAAGTCGTATCAGAGAATTGGAAGCGATCAATAAACGCCTTATGGAACAAATTACTGAGATGGAGAACGCAGAAGATGAAAGGCGAATCGAACTCATCGCTAATCGACGTGTTCAGGTTGTCCTCTTGTAATTTTTTACAGTGACAAAATTCATGACTTTCGATAGCGTGTTCGATCGAAGTCAACTTTCCTGTTTGAACGGAGTATAAAATACCTCTGACCCGTGACGTTTCATTTATGCTTACTTGGAGATTAGTTCTTTTCCGAAGAATTCATGCCTCTTTTTTTACTCCGAAGAGTTGAATCCAGAGCGTAATGCAGATAACATTACAGAGAAAGGTGAAACTTATTAAAACAGCAGCCTTGAAGTCGATTGGTTCCCTTCAGCGTTTCGTTGACGTGATTGATAAAAGGTTGGTTCATGTGTTCGGTTACTTTTACTGTTCATGGTATTGTTTCGCTTATCTTTTTAGGTATTTATGTCAACCGAACATTCGCATGCATGGAATCGAAGTATTCTGAACATAATTCTACTTGAATCATCAAAATTCCTCTCGAATGAGCCACACAGATGGTTTTAGTGTCGTTGTATCGTATTCCTCTGCGCATAAGACAAATATCTGACTAATTGATTGTCTGTGACTGATTGTATTATAATGTGTTGATTTGTTTTCATCAATTCATTAATGAATTTCAGTACCGATAACAGTATGGCACTCTCTTCGTCACAGTTATTCGAGAAAGAGCATTCGCCGATTGTCAAAACATCCCTACTCGAAATTGGTTTCTTCTGATTATTACTTTAAAATTGCTTCTTTCCTTTCTGCGTAATACTGATCGTGAGTAAATTTTTCTGAATTTATGCAAATAATTTTGTGTTTCAGTTCCGGAATCACCATCATATTCGCCACATTTCATGCCTCTAAGCTCGCTGAATTCAGCTGCGGTGAGTTATGGCTACATTTAATTTGAAAAATATCCTATCGTAATATATGGTGGATTAATTTTGCTTAATCAATTCCTGTTTGGTTCACTTCACAACATCCCGAAAACCAAGAATTTTCAGTGCAGTTATTTTTTGGTTTTCCTGAATGGAATTTTTGATACCTAATGCAATACATTGTTTACATTATTGAAAAAGAAGAAGTCTTGTGAATTCTTCAGTCTGCATCACAACCGTTGTCTCCTCAAGAACGAAAACGATCTATGGAAAAGGAGGACATTTCGATGAAAAAAATAGCAACAATGGCTCAAGAACACGTTGAATCGGTAATTCATCTTATGTCTCATTGAAATAACATGAAAACAAATTCTGAATTCCGTTCAGTGTTATTCCATAGCACACATGTCTAATTAACACGCCGAAATGATTAGATACAATCTCGGCTAATCTTCCTCATATTCACCAGATCTTTACGTGCGTAATGTAATATATGCCGATTTACTTTTACTAATACTGGATAACCAAATGTTTGGGTGGGAACGCAGCTGAGACCATGTTGCTGTCTCAGATTGTTATGGCAGAACTTGTTGATGATGTTATCATTTCATTTTCAGCCAGATGTGGAAGTGCTCGAGGATCATGTAGCAGGTAATTTTTCCTGTTCTGTTTTCCATCATCTTGTCATGCCCACCTTNTATTTCTCGCCTAACTCTCCAGAAGGAATTATCGACTAAACTTTAAGCAGAAGAATCTCCAGTCGATACAGAAACTCGTGGTGTTTTGTGTCCGTACGTCACTGGACGATCTAAGCGTCGATCACCGTCTGTGGGCAATAGAGGGTTGGCGATTCTGCCGAATGGTGCAGCTGTTTCGTTGCAAGATGTCTCATCAATGTAAGCAACATTCTTATGATTGTAGCTTCTTCTGTGAATGAAAAGCAGTGGTTGTGTGTTCGAATTGAAAGTCGAACGTTTGTCGTATTCACTCACTTGCGAATTGGTGATGTTTGATATCCGTTCGTAAAGGTCCCCGAAAAAATCTCATTTTCACTTTTTGCAAATTGTAAGTGAATTTAGCGTTTAATGACTGTGAAACAATATGATCAGAAGTTTTGCATTCATGATTGTAGCGAATTAGTTCAAAGTTCTCTTGACAGTGTGAGCGCTGTTTGAGTCGAATGTACAGTGCAGACAGAGACCATGAACAGACAATAAGGTTCGCATCTGATAGTGTTCATCGTGTTTCTGATGAGTGATATATGCATTGCCAAAGCCCCACTGATGTATTACAGTTCGTTAGCGGAAAGTCGGAATTCCGAAGAACAAGAGAATAGTCGTAACGGAGCGGACGAGTGTCGTTCGAATGGTTCGTCGGAGCAGGACAGTTGGACCTCCAGGGCACCGTTTGAGAGATGCTCATCCGGAAGACCAATGAGGAGAGCTGCTTCAAAAATCAAGTCGCTGAAAGAACCCAGCTGCAACAGGAAATTGAGACGGGAGGAATAGCTGTGTATAATTTCGAGCCAGCATTTTATTTTCAATGTTGACATATGTTGTGAAAATGGGTGATCGACTGGAATTTACGATACTCTTGCGTGGTTTCGCAATGGTCGATAGTGGATGATATGTTGCAGGCCCTTGTATCTTCAAAAGTGCTCGGGCTTCTCAGGGATCGGGACTTCTGAACTAACTCTAGCGTTTAGTAGCGACTTTTTTACCTATGATTTGTCTTTCATTGATATCTCTGTAATTGCCAAGCACGTTTTTTTTTNTTTTTTTTTGAATTATGTTGTATATAAGTAAAATAACGAGTCAGTAGAATATTTCTTGTCTCACAACCATTGTTCCTGTTTATCTTCTGACACATTAACCTCACGATTCCAATTCATTCGGTTTTGTCTTGTGATCGTGTATCAGTTACATAGGCGGAAATTTTTTGATTTAGGTCAGAGAGTTGACCGTTCCAGTTGCAGAGGGATGAATTTTTGATGACGGTTTTTGATTATATCAGAGTGTGTTTGCATTTGTTGTTTTGTTCGCAACTGATCTCGTGTACATTTGTTCGCATTCCACCGTTGTTTGGATAAATTATTTATCTGAATGCAGCGTCGTTATATACATGAGCAAATGGTTATATATGTAGTGTTTTGCGGATGAAATGATTCTCAGAATGCACCCAGTCGTCACGAATTCCGAGAATGCGGTGTGTCACTGATATCGCATGTCAGTAGTTTTATCTGGCGATTTTTGCTACCAATCTTAACCAATCCACTTCACACAGGCTCCCCGTACAAGGATCCGCCCCTGGTGCATAATAAGTTGAGGGCACTCTACCTGGATGCCATTGTGTAAACATTCATGACTATTGGGAAGAGAGAA